TGGGACCTGTGTGAGTTTTCTTTTGTGGACTATAATGGGGTAATAGGAAAAGGCTCTTCTCTGAGTGTTCAGTCACTGGAATAGGCTTTCCATGAAAGTGGTCAGAGCACTAAACCTGTCAGAGTACAAGGAGCATCTTATGATACTTACCCATATGGTTTAGTTTTAGGCAGTCCTGTGAGAAATGAGCAGTTGAGCTTGATGATCCTTACAGGTGCCTTCCAATTTGAGATATTCTGTGATCCCGGAGGAAGCAAAGAGGAGACAGGAGTGCTCAGACCCTTCAAAACTGAAGTGGTCTTCAGTTCTTCTCCCAAGGCTTTGGGGGAATTCATAGACATTTTGGAATTCTGAAATGCTAAACTAAATAAAAATGTGTGTGTCTTTAGAAAGTAAGCAGTGGCAACAACTTGCAGAAATGTTTCTTTTCAAAATAAATCACTTTCTTTCTGTGCTGTAGCACAGACATATATAAACTCAGCCCCTGCATGCAATTGATTTCTGTTTTCTCACATGGTTCTCAAAAAGTACAGGTGAAGACATAATTTCATCTCTGAATTTATAGGTAAAGGTGTCCTCTTCCTCCTTCATCAGTCTTGCTTGCTACAGTTGTTAGCTGTTAAATGGAAATTGGAGTGTTTACAATGACAGAGCCAAGATTTGCCAAATGTGGATGATCCAGTTTTGGAACTGGAAAGAAATATTAAAGTAGTATTGGTATTTAATGTAGATAATATTTAATAAGCATGGAACTCTTGATTAAGCAATTACCATTTTGTAATGCCTGTATCAACATTTGAATGATTTTCCTATCCTGATCAATGTTTACCCTGCAACTACCCTTCAACAAGCGTGGTATTGGCAATACTGTAGAGGGTTTCAGGAATTGTACAGAAATGGGTCATGCAATTAAAAAATGATAGTGAATCTTATTTGCAATGAACACCTGAAGACCTATTGCAGTGCTGCTTTGGTGGTGCTAAATGAAGTACTCAAATACTGATTGTGGTCAGAGTGCTTGTGGGAGGTCAGCTTGTGTTGGAACATACTGGCTAAGTTTTTAGTTTAGAGGTATGAGGCTTTTAATCTCAGGCAAGTATGGGTGTTGACACTTGATTTAGGGTTTAGAAGCTGCTAGCGAATCGTGGGTGTCTTAATCTCAGGCATTATTATGAATAAACTTGACTCATATTTTGGAAGGAGGTAGGTAACTTGGGGAAAGGTGGGGAATTGCATGTGGTAGTTCATTGCTTCTCTTGACTTTTATTTGGTGGGGTAAAAGACCAGCACAAGTATTTGCCTGTAGATTCTTTGTAGTGGTTTAATTATATTGCATGCATTTGGGGCAGGGAGGAAAGGGTGAAAAGATAGAGCAGCTAATCCATACTGGATCATAAGAGACAAAACTGTTACTAAAGATGAGTGGCCTGTGTTCTCTGTTTTGACATGGCGTCTTATTTTTATGTAAGCAGCAGCCTAGGAGCATGTGGAATAGGTAAGAACCGAGTTGCGTAGCTGGTGAATGTAAGGGCTGCAGAGTTCTCTCCCACACAGCTAAAATGTGATTAATGAAAGGCTTGCACAACTTGTGCCACTGCGGCAGGGGGAAATCAGATTGAATGTGTGTGGCTGTTTTGCAAGGAATGGTTGGCTGAGAAAGGTGTAAAGGGATAACTAAGCCTGGGCTGGGTTGGGCTGGGACAGGAGTCATGGAGCAAGGGTTAGAGGGGTCTCCAGCCTGGAAGGTCCTCCCCTTCAGAAAGAAAGCACTTTATAATCAGTGAGCAATTCTTATGGGGAAACAGAGTAGAAGAAAAGGGAAGAAAGAAGTGAGTTGCTTTGTTGTCCTCAGTCACGTTTTCCTTGCGTAGCTTGGAGACCATGGTTAGCCAGGTGTTTTTGAGAGTCCTTTAATCCCTTGGTGACAAGGAGCCTCTTCCTATAAAGCAAACTCCAGGAATCTGTCTCACCAATGGTTAAGAAAGATCAGGGCTTGGTAAGGACAGACCTGCCCTTTGTTAAGGAGCCAAGGGGAGTGTCAACTCCCTGTCACATCTGCTTCACCTTGTTTCCTCCAGGCTCCTGTGGCAAAGCACAAAATTCATTTCCGATGTAATCAGTTGCAGCAAATAATTGGTGTAATGAGAATTGTGGTTTCCAAGGTTCTGTTTAAAAAAATACAGCTACTTCCAGCTGCAGACTCAGTTACGTAGTCACTCTTGGGCCTGCCTTACTAATCTCTTTTTACACTCACCTGTCCCACCCAGTTTTAGTGGAGCAACCACTTAAACAGATCGCAGCATGTGAGCCATGGCTGGAAGCACCTCTTCATAATGGGTGTCTTTATTTTCCTGAGAATATCTTCCTCAGATTCTTTGAGGGTGACCCATACTATAATTATTTTCCTTCAATCCTGGATGTTGAATCCAACCTCCCTTTAGATCATATTCTGAAATTATAGCTACAGATTGCAAGGCAGAAAATATGTATACAAGAAATGCTTTGTGTTTTATTCCAAATTTGTTCACCACTGTCAGTGAAACTAGTAAAATACTAGGTCTTCCCTTAGGTATCATTGGTTGGATTTTGTTGTGGGACAGAAAAATTGCTTGTTGCCACAGATTATAGGAAGCATGAGTATAGCTCTCAAAATCGAAACATTAGTTTCAAATAACACCATATATTATTATTATTACTGTTACTGTTGTTATTATTATTGTGCTTTCCCTCAAAATCATAAAGCTTTGCAGCGAGCTGAAGGTAATTTTTATACATATTAGAGGTTGCCCTGTGAGCAGAAAATAGGAGATACTCTAGGTCTGATAATTTGCTAAAACTTCGCAGATGCGTAATTCCTTCAGCAAATATATCTGACTTTCTCTCAAGATAGGGATGGGAAAAAAGTTCCCTGGTGCTTGATGGTAATTTTACCACTTTTCTGTAGGCTTTACGATATCACTTATCCCAGTGTGCTGTGGGTGGAGGGGTGGTGCTTCCCAGGGATCAGGAACTGGTATTAAACTTGCTTGTCTGGGCCGCCAAGGGATGTGGTCCAAGGGACACCTGGAAACCAGTTCATGAAATGGCCTGTTTACCTGGAAGCTACTTTCTGTGGAAAAGAAGGAAACCTAGAAATGTACTTTCATAGGAGCAAGAATAACTGGTACAAAGGAGTTTTGTATACCTTCTGACTTCTTAATTTTTTTGTTTGTTTGTTTCTCCTCTACACTCCCATCATAGTAGTTTACCCATGGTTATAAGTTAAAAACACAAATGGGCAAAGCGGGAATATTGTAAGGTTTAACAGGCTACGGAACAACAGACCCATGGAAGTACATCTGTTGGGCTCTGCAGGTTTGGCCATGTCTCTCCCTTGTTTAGCAAGATCTGAGTTTCTGGAGGAAACAAGCAGAGTCCTGTGACACCAAAGGGTGTCAGAGCAGATGGTCGTAATGCTCTCTTCTGATTTAAAATCTTAACAATTCTCACACAGACCAGTTGCTCTGTTTAAAATCGTGTAGGAGGGTGCTTTCTGATAGAATGGGAGCATGAAATCAGGCAGGAATGGGCTATGTAGAAGCTGTTGCCTACGGTGGAAGAGTGCCTGTTGTGGGCAGAAAAAAAGCTCAGTGGGAAGTAGCTCTCCTCTGCAGAGATTGAACAGAGGAAATGTCTGCTGCCCCAGCCTGAGGAAATTCTCATTCTTCCACTAAATTTTAGGAATATCAGGACAATGTGGAGAAAGTTCAGTTTGTTGTAGTAGCTGAAGGGATGGGTTTTGTCCAAACTTGATTCTGGGGCTAAACTATTTGCGTTATTTTTGGCTGTAACTGCAGAGGGCTGGTGGGAGAGAAGGAAAATGAAATTTAGTTTCATTATTCTTGGACCGTGTTTAGTGTCTACTGAGTGCTCGTGAAAGTCCAAGTGACTGCTTCAAAGACGCCTGGAGAAAGACTGGTTTTTGTGTGCTTAATGCAGAAGTGTACTGAGCAGGACTGCAGGTGTGTAAGAGCAGTTCTGTGATGATGCACAGAGCAGTTTCCTGCTCTGTGAAATTTTGTTCATATTTCATATCACGCTTGAGATGTGTAGCTGGCACTTTTAAGTGGTCTGTCTAATATGGCTCTTGCAGTTGCTGGAAAACCTAGCAAAGCACTCTAGATCTGATCACACACTGCAAACTGTAGAACAGGGTAGGATACTCTGCAGAAATGCAAAGTTGTGAGGGGCAAGGGAAGAAAGGAGAGCTGGATCTTTGGCTGTGTTTAGGATGGGTTTGACAGACACCAGAGTACAAGAATACGAGAGATTGCCTTAGGAAGGTGAGCGACATGTTGTCTGGGTAGGCTTCTGGTTGAATTTCAGTCTGAGACAGGACTTAGAGGTTTGTGAATTTTTTTCTTAATATTTATTTATTTATTTCTCTTCCTTAAGTGATAGGATTAAGTTTATAGACATCTGAATGGCTAATTAAGCAGTGGCTTGCAAAGGGATAGAATGACAAAGATGAAATCTCTGGATCTGAAAGTGTGATATCCAGTTATAACTGTATGCTAGTGCGATGCTTCTGTTTTAAAATATGAAAATGTGTTGGAGTTTTTTTTCCCTTTTATTTAAAAGCTAAAGGACCTCTTGGGTATATGTATCAAGTCAGATAGGCAGACCGAAATAGAAATATGAAACGTGTGTTTATGCAGAAAGTTGAAAAAGGAGCTCCAGAGCCGCTACTCAATAATCTGGATTGCATCTCTGTGATATTGTATGCATGCACTGAGGTATTTTGCTTCATGTTTGTTTTCTGGAAGGTAAGGTATTTAAGTTGTAAAAGTGAATACTGGAAAGACTTGAAATTTACTTAATTGAATTTTTAATTATCAAAAAGTCTGGGGAAAAAATAAACACCAATAGAATAAAATGCTTGTTGTGATGCTTTTCTAATTCATCATGCAATAAGTGTGGTTTGTTTTATTTTTTAAAAAAAACCTACATCTGTTTTACAGGAGAAACTATAGAAGGTCTTCGGGAGAGCGATTATCTTCTGATTCATTCGTGTCGGCAGTGGACAACAATTACAGCTCACAGTCTGGAGGAGGGTCACTACGTCATAGGGCCAAAGATAGAAATCCCTGTACATTATGCAGGTAAAGCTAATGTTGACCTGAAATGCAAATTCAAAAATAATGAATTGCCTGCCACTTATACTGATCATTATATTTGAGAGTGTGAAGCTAAGGCTCTCATGCCATGGTCTGTGAGTTAACTTTTTAGTAATGTTACAGAGCAAGAGATACTTACTTGCAGGGTGGATAAATAGATGTATTTCATTGAGCAACACATTGACAGAACACCTAGCTGTGTAGCAGAATTGATTTCAATTTGAGCATAATGAGTTGCCAGCACTTCTCATGTGTGAATGTGGAGACACAAGTGTGAAAGTTTGAAATTGCCTTGAAATGTTTGGTCAAAGATGGAATAGGTTTTATATTCAAGCTGGGGGGGGCGGATTTTCTGATGTTGCCATGTTAAACACTAGGGACTCTTCATAATATTACTGCAGTTTTAAGCTAATGCTCCTCAGTAGTGCCTTGTCTATGCCTTCTTGAGTGATAGAGTAATACTGTTGTTCCAAGTAGCTATAATCCATCTAATCCATATTTATTTTATGATTTCAAATTATTTTTACTTCGCTAGGAAATTGTTTTTAATACTTTTTCCTGCTGTTTAGTGTTCCTATTCACAAACTGAACAGAACAATACAATGAGAGTGGGAAGTGCTTATCTTACAGGAGTAGATAGAAAACTTTTCAAAGCTGGAAAGTGTGAACTGAAAGAGCCATGGATACAAAATAAAGATGCGGGCTTAGTGTTTTAATTAGTCTTCTGTATAAACAGTTATCAATTGAATAATGTGCTTGGCTCTGCTACAGTCTCCTTTAAAACATTGTGCACTGAGGGTGTGCTGACTTGGACAAGACCTGGCTGAATTGCTTTGTGTTAGTCACACCAGTGCGGCAGCTGCAGCGATGCACCCTATTCCAGTGATGAAAATTACACCACTTGCCTTCTTAGGTACTGTTTCTCCTTGGAGTTCACCGCTGGAATGTTACTCTTTCTAAGATATGTTTAAAAGCTGTGGTCTGATGGCATATAGTGTCATAATGTATGTTGCTGTAAAACTCTGTGACGTTAAGTTTCTTAGGATAAATATTTTCTAGTGCTTATGCTTATAATGCAGATTTTTTTTTTTTTTTTTTTTTTTTTGTTACACCTCCTGGCTGCATAAGCTCCAGTGGTGTGGACAGATAAACACTACACTTCCTTTGAACTGAATGTCATGTTTAAAATCCTTACAGTGATTCCTGGAAGGAGAATGGAAAATAAAATGGTTAATGGCATAAAAGATCTTAAGGGATTTACTGAAGTCTCGGTTTGGTTCTTTATTTTTAAAGTTAACAAAGACATGCTAAGGAGTGTTTCTTGACTCTTCATATTTCCATTCATTCATATCTTAAATTTACACAGACACCAGCAAAATAAAATTCTATCCCCTGAGATACTGCAAAAGTATCAGTGTGCTTTTCTTCCTGGCTTGTGTTAATGCAGGAAAAGAGGGCGTGTTTAGTTAGCAAAATACATTTTGCTGTCAAAGAAAGTTCTCTGCCACAAAACCCTTATTAATGAGATGAAAGTACCTGAAAGTTCAGAAGCTTCCACCTAGCAATGACACTTACTGAACATGAGATGAGCCAAAGGAACTTCACAAAAATGGTCTGTGCTAACTTGCAGAACCAGAGCATGTCTGATGGGTTTACCTCCATGTAAGGAGGGATGAATCTACACACGTGAAGGGTTAGTTAGCAAAGCACTGCAGTTTGGCACTTGGATGCTAACATCTAAATGCTGTTAGAGGTGTCTTCCATACCCTAAAGATTAACTTGTGCTGCTGTGGAGCACCATACATAGGTCTGTCAGCTAGCACTGAGTGGGCTGTCAGTGCTGCCCTGTGCAGTGCCTCATGTTCTCTGCTCTTGGGATCGAGCAACCCCCGCTGGAGAGGCCAAGTTTAATGGAGCTGCCTAAACCAGCTTGCTGGGCTGGGTGCTGACCTGGATTATAGGACTGATTTTTGCATGGTTAAACTTTAAACTTCTGTCAGCTAAAATGTACTACCTACCAGAATGACCCTTGGAGATGGAATATAAAAGTTCATTGAAATGACTTTCAAGGTTTGTTTGAGCTTTAATAGAGTACCTTTTTTTTGTTCTTTAACCGTAGAAGAATTTCAATGTCACAAATTGCAACATGATTTTCATTGTAACAGTTGAGCAGGAAGAGACACTGAAACTGGTTTTATTTTCCTGAGATTATAGTTTAAGTACCACAAAGTCATCACTCATATATATATATAACTATGACCATAAAGTAAATCTTATTTTGGTACTTGCTAAATCAGGTTGTGATACACTTATTAAACAATACAATAAAACAAATACAATAAAGCCCTACTAAAGAAGGGGAATGCTGTATTTTACATATAAGTGGTATTTTATTATCAGAACCTGAGTTGTGCAGTCTTGCTGGTGGTGCTTTCCCTACTATGAAAGTGCTGCCCTGGTTGTTTTGTTTGGTGGTGGCAGACATGATTAATTTTTGGGGTTAAAGATCATATATGACAGCTGTTGGTGTAACCATTGTCTCTTGAATATTCTCTCCAGTCTGCTTCTCTTTAGAGTAAAAATTAAAATTAATGTAGCATCAAGTTAAATTTTTATTTAATTAAAACCAAATAGCTAATATGTTTCTGTCACTTAAAACAACAGAAGTTTTCCCATGCATATGGAATGGAGAGCATATCAAAATTAATGTCCTGATAGTGCCCCATCTTGGCCTGAAAGAATGGGTTTCACTGGAGTCTGAGGTAAACCATCACAGCAGATGGACATTCCTTTGGTGACATTTGCTTTCTTCAGGTACACAATTCACACTTGATACTTACAGGAAGGTCTTATCAGCTCTCTCTCTGAACTAGTTATGTTTTGTTCCTGGTACTCTGATATCCTTAATTTCTACTCTAAAAGCAAGTGTGTGTTACCAATACCCTCCAGCTGATGTTAGATATTACTGTTACGTCTTGCTTAGGCAGCACAGTAACCTTTACCTTTATAATTGTCTCCCCTGGTAGCCTCTGGAAAATACTGTTTTATGATCTCAGTTTGGAAGATACAGGGCCTGTTGGTATTACACTTTGCTGTGCTGAATTACACTTTGCTGTGCTGCTGCTTGCCAAGAAGGATACTTTTCATTCTTCTGCAGAAGTTCTGCATAGGAAGATGTGTCCCAGGACATGCTGGTGACCACATCTGTGACATAGTCTGGGATAACTGAAAGGCACTGAGACACTCTCTCAGGGTTTTAATACTGTGGCTCTTGGGTGTTGTCTGATTCTTCTTGCTTTACTTTCCAGGACTCTACAGCTCAAAACTATCTTTCTGAGGTTTGTGTGTTTGTGTTTCTGAGGATTCATCAGCTCAAGCCACAGAGGTGTTCTGCTCTGACTGTGAATGGCTTGGGTTCAGTCTGTTGTACATGCCTCTGCTGCCTGGCCATAGTTGTTTGTGTACAGATTATTGATGTGAAAGTGGATGTTCAAGTTGGACGTGGTTGCTTAAAACCTGCTGCACAGGAAAAGTGGCACAGAAGGCTGTGGAGTGTGTGCATACCCCACCTACACAGTGTAGTCTTCTCTTTCAAAGGCCATGCTAGTGTTGGTGAGTGCATGCAATGAAAGAAAAAAAGTACTTTGGGATGAATTGGCAGTATCCAGGTAATTTTTCCCCAAATACTCACTCCCATGTTTAATAAAATCATAATAGGACTTTTAATGTTGTTTTTTTTCATGGCCTTATTATCTCTCTTGTTACAACTGATTGTTCATTTTTCCAACTGATTGGTTTTTTTCCATTCTGAGAGGAAAGCCGTTGCTTTGAGATGATATTTTAAAAAAAGACCAAACACACAAATGTAAGACTGTAGTCTTCTACTCAGTTTTGCCCAGAGTTTGGAGGGAATGGCTTTTTCGTCTCTGCTGCCATCTGTGTGCACACAGGAGGCAACTAATAAAAATATTTCTATAAAGATATTAGAAAGTAACACCCTATTCCAGGGTGTGCCACACTGTAACACATCTGGGATGTTGAAAATACTCCTGTGAGCTCACACCTCCCTACCACAGACTGAAGGTGTGCATTTGCTTATACAGGGTAATGATTGGTTCCCTGCTCTGGTTGCTTACCTAAGTGTGCTGATAGCTTTCTTAATGTCTTTTAAATGAGGAAATATAAAACCTTGTAATGTGAACCTTCCACAGGTGGGGTGTTGGATAGAAGTGAGTCAGAAGGCCCTTTCTCTGGTGTTGGAACTGGTGTACAACACCCCACTGGAACCTGTTTCTGCGGGTTTGATTTGTTAATCATGGAGCAGGGCCTGCTCCTCCCCGTGTCCTGCTAACACGGAGGACGACGCTCTCTGCAAGTCTTCTCAGGAGTGAACTTGCCTTGGCAACAGGAGAGCAGGACAGCTCCCTGAGATTTGGCAACATGCAGCTGCAGAAGTTCTCTCTCAGGTCCAAAGGCATGGCTGCCTCCAAGGCACAGTTCGGTCATTCCTATAGGCTTATTGCTATCCACTCTGGAAGAGCCATCCGTTGGACACTGAGGAATGAGAGTATCTCTCAGTTGTCTTGAGGTGATGACAGTGACAGCAGCTGCTGTTCCTCATTAGCCACCCTGAACCTGTTTCATCCTGGTTTAGGAGGTCTGGAAGAGCTCAGATTTTTCCTTCAGTGATGCTGTGCTCTCTTGGATGTTTATAATATGTTGGGTCTTCTGTAAGTTTACTGTAGAGTTCTCTTCCTGGCCCTTGGGAGAAGAGCGAACATTAGACTGGCACGCATCCTTTGCTTGTCAGCGTTATGGTTTCTGCTGCCAGCTTGTGTTACTTTGGGGACAGAGCCTGCTTAAGTTCAGTTCAGACTCTCCACTCCCTCAGATGCAATTTAATACTGTCTGCTGCTCAAGGAAAGTGGTGCTGGACAAAGAGCGCTTTGTCCGGAGCTTTGCCTCCCTTGGAAGAGCGGGTGGTG